ACATTAAAATCTCAGCTGAACATTGATCTGCTCAGGTTGCCCTGGGCGTGCTCAGGGAGCCCTGTGCAGGGAACATGTGTGAGATATCTTCTGCAAAGCTGATTGAGTGGTCTTTTGGTAAGAGTAACTGCAATCTGTCTGTAGAACAAAACTTTAAGAACTATTTTTGATATACACCGGAACAGTCACAGGCTGGAAGTAGGTTTTCCAAAGCATTATAGGTGGAGGGAATGTCATGGATGCTTTAAAACTCTTCAGATACGCGTAAAAATGACATGAACGTTACGTATTATCTCCACAGAATAAACACCATTTGAAATGTGTCCCTTTTTAACTCCCATTATGAACTGTCTAAAGAGCATTTTGCTTGAAACTTGTGAGGAAAGGAGAGGGGGAAAAAAAAGCCCACTGATCTTACACCTGCTCTTTAGCAGTGGGAAGTAGGTTCTCAATCTGTTAACATGACCATCTGGCCAATCTGCATATCACGGCTATCTGGATTACCCGTACGATGGAATGACAATAACCTAGCCAAAACAAAAGTAAAACGCATCAAAAACTAACAGTAGCGCAAGCCCTTTTGATTTTAAATTAAATAATAAATGTGGTATCAGGGCAAAGCGAGAAAGTCAGCTAAATAATTAAAAATGAGCCTTCGCTTCGGCATAATTAAGTAAACAATACGGTGTGTGTTTCTGTATGAGCCAGCAATAGTTTCCACCACGGAACACTCCACTTTTGCAGAGCAGCGATCGGGAGTTCAAGGCGCTGCGACAGCTCTTTCAGTGACGTACGGTATTGTCAGGACACCTCTGCCATCCCTGCGACATGCCGGGCCGGCTGCGGCTATTAACAGGATTAATGCAGCAACAATCAATACCAATTGTACTAAAAGATTACAGCGCAAAGCCTTAGATACCTTTTGGACCCCCCAGTATCTCCACGGGTTCATGGGCTATCTGCAGGCGCTTTCTGCCTTAACTCATCTTTGGGTTATTCCCATCAATGCCTCTTTGCGGTGGTCCAAGCAGAAATATTTTAAATCTGCTGATGGGAACATTTAATGGGTCTGCCTAAAGTTCAAGGTCATGTGCTCTATACCACTGCCCAGCAATTAGCCACAGAGTATATTTAGAGGTTAAATAAATTCTGAATCGCAGAAATAAGGCTGAATTCTTGCATCTTCACTGGTTTCTAGTCTAAACACAAACGGAAAAATGAGCTCATGTAAATAAAGCCCTAGCCCCAGATTTTTCTTAAATTTGGGATTTTTAAATGTCCTTCTGAAAGATTAAAAGATTTTCTCTGCCACAAATACCTCGTGAGCTTAATTCTCGCCTGAAGCGCGTAACGATGGTCGGTCAAAAAAATAAAGCAGGCATTGCAGCATCGCCTCCTGGCCCGCCATCCAGCTTTGGCCACTAGAAAAGGCTCTAAAAACTGTGACCTCTCACAAAATTTAACTACTTCTATTGCGAATCTATTCTCCCATCTGATCACATTAGCAGAAGTAACTCCAAAGCAGTAAAAAACTCCAGAAAGTTCTCGGTTGAGTGCCTACTAATGAACAAAGGTTAACTTTATCTAAAAGGTCAAATGCCTGGTGGCTAAGGTTGTGACCTTAACAACTTAAATTGTGACCTTGCCACGTGCCTAGTATATTGTAGATTCTGATACAGATCATCTGGTAAAGGACCGGTCATAAATTAGCTTTACTGTTTGACTCCCACAAAGAAAACGGTTTGCCACAATGGTTTCCAACTTGTCATTTGATACAAGCACAGAATAAGTGAAAACTAAAAAGCAAACCCAAGTTCAGGGTATGAAAATGCTGCCTGCTTTTAGTTAAGCAGATTAGAAACTGCAGTGTGAGAGCAATACTCTAGATTTCAATACATTTTTTGGTCAACCTCTAATTCACAAAACACCAATCTTCCTTTTTTTTTTTTTTTAATTTCTTTTTTTTTCCTTTTAATGAAAATGACATGTAGTTTGCCTATTTGCATATTTTTGTTTTCTCTTTCTAGCCAGTTCTTAAAGAGAATAATTGATTTCAGTAGCTTTGTAAGAAGCACTATTTAAATCTGTGCACATGTGTTCCCTTACAGATGATAGTGCCTACTGAAGAAAAAGCATGGATTCAAAGCAATAATTATCCTACATGTTTAGAAGGAAAGGGACATCTTGCTGCCGAAGTCATCTCGAATAAGGGCATCTTGGAAAAGAATACTCTCCGCCCAAAAAAGAAGACGAAAAGTGGGGGGAAAAAAAAAACACAACAAAACACAAGAAAAAGAGAAGCGAGCACTATGGGTGAAAAGGTCACAATGGTTTTGGCACGTATCTTCAAGCACGTTTCAGAGTCTCTGCCTCCTGCCAATACTGGCAACTTCTCAAAACTTTTAAGGAGGTAAAAACATTGTTTAGTGTTTACAAATCTTCTGTACTATAGCAGATGCTTGTCAAATCCGCTATATGTAAGTTGACCAGCCTACCTAATATTTGCACTGGTGACTTCCTCCTTGTAAATATGCGGTCCATACATTTAGGGAGCGAGGTCTGATGGAGTTGGAGACAAAGGACCCTTAATATTTTTTTTCTTTTGTAATTTTCCTGTTGCGCACCCGGCACAAGCTGCCATTACTGCGGGTCTGCGGAACCAATGGCTGTCAACTTGGCCAATGTTCAGGTGTAACAAAGACTGCTGGGATACATCGGAGGGGGGAAAAAACGGGAAAAAAAGGGGGGGAAGAAAGCGGTAGCCTATATGCAAGGTTTTTGGTACACCTCTGTGAAGCGATATGGACGGAGAGCATGCTGTGCTACCTCCCAAAAATCATTTTGTCCCCCTCCCTGCTGAAGTTTAGCAGGAATACGCCACCACACGCTACTGCATTAAGAGCACAATGCGATGCGTGCAATCAGCAAACAACGGTCAAAAACACGAAGTGGTGTGCTTCACACGAGCGCATTACTGCTCACACAAATCCACAAATCTGACCCTAAAAAGCCGAGGTCTTGTGCTTAGTTTCTGTGGCAAACGTAGTCCAAAGGACAATTAGTGCGATTGCTGCCTGTTGACGATGAAGGCAGAAATAAATAAGAGTTCGCTATCAAGGCTACTGTTTGCCACCAGCGTGCTGATAAGATGGGATATCCCTAATCACAATATTGAACTTTTATAACGTGTATTGCCTGACTTTTATAACAGGGAGAGGATCCTTTCAAGCTCCCTGAAATACCTCCACGCCTGGGTTTGGTTCTTTTCTCCACATCCTACATTTTTATGACCCTACAATCAGGCTAAGACAAGACCGTTGGTTTCTATGAACAACTTGTGTGCTCCAGGGAGGGCTGCCTGGGAAACACAATACGGACCAGTATTTACCAGCACCATGCCATATCTAAATGCTAAAAACTTGTGTGTCGTGGAGTGTAAATAGCAGTTTTAGCTGGGGATATCAAAGCACTTTAAATGCATTACCCCACTTCGATATGCAGAAAAGGAAACTAAGGTAGACAAAAGGGATGCAAGTCCATGGTCTCCTCAGGGTTGGTGATGGAATGGGAAGTGACCTGAAATGCCCCAGTCCCAACCTCCCTTCAGTTAGCCATTAATCCATAATCCTTCCTTCACCGTGGTCATAATAAATTCCAGAGTAAATAAATAATTTTCCTCAATATTTGCCTACTTCCACTTTGCCATAAACAAGCAATAGGATTTACTACCTCTCACTGAAGTGTAAAGCAAATGTTGCAGCTTATCTGTAGGAAATACCATGAGGATACTCAAAATTTATTTCTGAACAGGGATCGTATCCGTAAAATCCTAGCGGTGACACTGCCTATCACAACACCCATAGCAGGGACTCAGCGCAGAAGAACTTTGGGGGAGCCAAAACTTTCTGCAAGACCCTCCGAAAGAAGTTGGCATGGGAAATGCAAAGCTCCCAGGGCTGTTATTCACTCAGTTTCCTTATTGATAAATATTTACATAGAAGTGGTTTCTACTATTGTGGTTCCTCTCCCCACTGCTCCTCTTTTTGTCCAGTCTGTCCAGCCCCTCAACTCACAAGTCAGGATATGCAGGGTGGCCTAAGCATCCCGTACATGAAACTTGGGGCCTTGCACTTCACACACACACATATTTCTGCACTATAATCACTCAGGAGAACTACAATAGCATATTATTTTACCCAGTCAACATACTACACATCCTCTGGGCACACTGAGTCACGCCGCGGGCAGAGTGTACTTTGTGTTGGAGTCAGAGATCCCAAGATTTTCATCACCCACAAAAACATCTCAGCCCTCCCCCAGAAAGACAAAATTATCAAATCAGGAATTATTTTCAAGACCTGCTTAGCTTCTAGGTATATAAACTGGGATATTTCAGGGGGGGTTTAAGTGTCTTCTTTTCCCCCTAGGATTACCCAGATGTTTGTTTCGTGCCTGCTCTAACCTGATGACCAGGTTTGCTATCAAGGGACTGTCTTCTCCTTTCCCTCCAAGTCAAATTCTGTGGAATTTATGCTCCTCATCTCATCCCCATGGGGTGAGGATACCTGGTACTCCTGGTCACAGGCCTCAGGCATCTCTAGCCCTCTTGGACTACTTTATGCGTAACATACACAAAATTTATTAAAAAAAAAAATCTATTAAAATCTGTTTTCCCCCAAAATCAGGATAAAGGCAGTCGCGTCTAGCTGTGAGCCCTTCTAGGACAACATTTAGGATAACACCTGTGAAAGATGCCTGAAATGCTGTTAACCGTGGGAAAACAAGAGCCACTTTTATGTGACTGCACCTTAAAAACCCATGGAAAAAAAAAAAAAAAAAAAAAAGCAGGGGAGAAGTTTTGGCGTCCTCCTCACCACCCCGGGAGAGCGATAACCAGCACCCCCTGCTCCCTCCCCGGCCCATGCAGCCGCCGCCAGGGCACAGCACCCGGCACGGAGATAATCGAAAAGTTGGAGAAGGTGGTATAGAAAGGCACTTACCTGCTGCGTGCACAAAGTATGCCAAATATAAATCGAGTTCCTTAACAGAAACTCCTATATGGTGGGGCTGTACGCACAGCCCGGGGTTAGAGCACTGTGGGGACTTTACAAGGCGCTCGCCATCAGTACTTTCGAGCGGAATACCTTTAAATAAAATCACCATAACAAGGTCCAACCTCCAGACCTTATCTGCCTGGCGAAGGCAGTCAATTCTTCTCATCTTGCCCTTCTGGTCTGGATTGGAAAGAACGCAACACGGAGGCTTTTTTCCTGTGACTGTGAGAACAAAATCCTCCCGAAATTCAGGTCTGATATCTTTCCGGAGCTTTGCCAGAAGTCTGGATGCCCATTTTTGCTTTACCTCGGGTTTTTCACTTAGCAGTTCGTCCTTCACGGCTCTCTCTTCCTCTTTTGACATGCGTTTTTCATGTTTTTTGAAGTATTTTCTTTTTCGGGCTTGCAGGTTGAACCACGTGTACGCAAACGCTCGGACGTGAGGCAGAAGTGCTTCAATGAAGGGATGAAATTCATCCTGAAAAAAGTTACAGAGAAGGGTCGATGTCACCGAAACCATCAAGAAAGAGCTTCCAGAAACGGGGCTTTTGTGGGATGGTGAGAATTAGGAGGGTGCTTATAAATTTTAAGGGGTGTGCGACTCATAATCCTCACTGACAGACCCCGAACCCGCCACTGCCACATCCCCGCTTCCCCTTGTGCCAACCCAAAACCTCCGCTCCCGCCCCCAAAAACAGCCTTCAACTTCAACCAAATGCCCCAACGGAGATGCAGCAACGTTGGGGCCCCCTTTTCCCAATCCCCAAATTTCTAAAAAATGAAAAAGTTAGAATGAGTTAAAAGCTAAAAACACAGCTCCAAGTCCACTTACAGAGCGCATATCTCCCTTTGCTCTCTCCCTGACCCCGCTGCTTGCGGTGTAGCCAGCGTTTGCCCGCCAATTTGGCAAATCCTAAACATTTGGATGCCAATCAATGTTTGTATGGGGAAGTCTAAAGTATAGTAAAACTTTCCCTAAGATATATTTGGAAATAGCAGCCGGCAGTATAGTAAAATGCCACTATAGCTGTATATACAATTACAATGAACAGTGGTTTTCACTCTGGTTCCTGAAACGGTGAAGGGAGTAGAAAGTACTGCAGTCGATTCCTCCTGCGGGTGCAACAATAACACTAAAATCCCAGAAAAAGCAAGTCTTGCAAATTTTTTTTTTTAAGTTTTGTGTATATTAAGTCAAAAAAAAAAACAAACAACTAAAAACTGGACATTTGGGCATATTAAGGAAAGTCAAACTCTGAGCCTTTCTATAAAATAAAATAAAAAATCAACAGGAAAAAACTGAAAACTGTAGTAACAGAAAACCATAGCACAATTTGTGCAAATATGGAAAGAATTATTAATTGTGTCAGATATTTTCATATATTTAAAAAGAAATGCCCTACTTGGAAAGTTAGTTTGGCCATCCGGAGACACTGCTTGCTTTGTACAACGAGGAGTTAAAGATCACCCCTCTCCCTTGGCACAAAAATAACCGTGATTAAAATTATGCTGATAATAAAAAAAAGCAAGAAAGACTCCTTGATTTTGTTTTTTTAAAAATATTATATATATATTTTTTCAGAAAGTACTACATAAATCAGTCTAAGAGACCAAAACATATTATAATACATTGGGGGCACGCTTCTTGTTTTTTCTCTGAATAAATGAATGACCGAACTCCAGGCTGCACATAAAAACATATCCAGCCTATGGGGCCTGATCCAGTCCTGTGGGCTGGGGACGTCCCTGCTTCCAGTTCCTCCTTTTCTCAGGATTGGGCCCTCCAGGAGTGAAAAATAAAGTAATTTGTGCAAAGTTTTCCCCAGCATGGGAAAAGCCACCCGCTGCCTACTCCTGCAAGAAAACATTGGGGATTTTTCAGATTAACTAACTTCTTTTTTTTTTTTTTAATTATCCCATGGAGTACATTTCCTACCCAAATCATTGCAGGTTGTGTAAATATTGTTATTAAAACAGACATCTTACTTCCTTTCAACACTTTAATTTGCATTTTCTTTTCAGAAATTATGAAAATTTGAGAAATCAATAGCAAAAACATCTACCAGCAAAATCCTGTCTTTATTCAAGACCTTCTGCTGACTCCCCAAGAGCTTTCATTGCACTTATTCTAAGTGGTCTCAGAATTATAGATACTTAAATCTATAGGTAGGTAATATACAATTGCATTTATTTTTAACACTCATTGTTAAAAACTTCCCAAACAGCACAACATATTTCATTAGAGCAAAGCGGCAGTAATCAAAGTACTATGAAGGATTACTAAAATAAAAGCAGGTAAAATAAAATAAATCACCCCAATGATTGGCACATTCTTCTTTTTTTTTTTTTTTATCTCCCTCCTCTATGGGAAAAAATGATAGTTTCAAATTTCAATAAAGTTGAGGGAAAAAAAAAATTGCTGCGAGTTTGCAGTCGGCAGATTCAAAAAGTGAGAGGAGGCACAATCCCAGCACATGAAGCTACTCTCACCCACCAGAAACAGCTCTCGTGGGGGGGAGGAGGGAGGGGGGAGCAGGAGGGGAAAGAGAATAAAAATATAAAAATTAGAGGTCCCTATAAGCTATTAAAAATAATAAACCCTCCCTCCTGATCCCCCCTGTCCTTCTCTTTCACCACTCAAGGGAGAGTCAAGAAAAAAAAGGCCTTTTGTCAAGTGGAAGTTTATCTGCGAAGGTACACAGAGCAGAGAGGCTCGACAGCCCCAGAGCGAGCCAGGGCAGCACTTCCAGCCTTCCCACTTTCCAAACACGTCTTGGTACATCCTGAAATATTTTAACTTTTCTGCTTTAAGCAGCGCTTTGTCCTGCCTGATCTCATGTGCTCGAGACTTTTTTGGCTTAACGCTGGATACTGTCCAAAAGAGAGTTGCTTTAACCTGCGCTAAAGCTGATTTCTCTACGATGTGAACCTGAAAGGGGAGGTAAAAACACCCCAAAAAAAAATTAAAAAACCCTCAAAACCACTTTAGAAGGAGGGGTAAAAAAAAAAAAAAAAAAAAAAGATGATTTTTGGTGCAAATTCAGGGTCTGTGGCTAAGTAAATGAGAAGCATCGCTGCTCGTGCGCGAGGTGTGCATGTCCCTATTAGACTCCAATGTGTCTTTTCAAAATGGTGTATGAGGAGAAAAGGTTAATGACTCATAAACAGACCAACTTTCAAACTGTCTTGGTAAACATGCTGCTCCGGAAAATCGCACCGCTTCAATCTCGGCGGCGAGGTATTAGCAAAGTCCAAGTGGAAATAAAAGCAGCCAGGACTGATCAAACAGAATTGGGCTGGAAGCGGGGACGAAGGAGGGGGGAGCAGTTTCTGCACAATACAGTTTTTTATTTCAGCATTATTACAGCCCCCCAAAACACCCAAAAAGTTTTGGAAATGTGTAAGTGCAAGTCTGCTAACAGATGTATAACTTGTCTGCAGCCTCGTTGCAAAATAGCACGATTTTAAGGAACTGGTGGAAAAGGCGATGATCTTTTCCTTTCCCAAGTTAGTTTGAAGGGAAACTTTGAAAGTATCTGATAAAGCTGTTTATTTTCCCCCCTTGGTGTTGGATGGGTCACCTAAAAATAAAAGACACCAGAAAGCTGGAAAAGCGATCATAAAAAGTTGGTTTTTTCTTTACTGCACTAGTCTCCAAAGTTTGAGGATGCAGCTCTTCCAAGAGCTGCCTGTTTCTAAGCAGCACCTAAAATTTGGGCTACACAATTCTGTACTGTTATCCCAAAATTCTCTTCTGCTCTTCAGAAAGGTATAGGAAAAAAAAAAAAAAAAAAAAAAAAAAAAAAAAAAAAAAAAAAAAAAAAAAAAAAAAAAAAAAAAAAAAAAAAAAAAAAAAAAAAAAAAAAAAAAAAAAAAAAAAGGAACTATGATAAAAGAGCCCCAATCCCAGCCCAAAGGCGCCCGCAATAATGTAATCCTGCAAAGGAGGCTTTGAAACTATGTATTTCTGCAGATCTTTTTGAAATTAAGCCAGCTACAGTGACCCTTGCTAATATTTTTACAATCCATTTGCTTGTAAATCTATGAGGAGATGTGCATATGTTCCCCAACTATTTCCTAGCTCCTCAGCAGATATGTAAATGGAACGATGTTTGGATTTTTCCTGACAGATGACACAAAATGCTTGTGCCATTTCGGTTCCAGGGCTTGGATAAATATGCTCAGAACCAGGATTTCTGTTTGTTTTCCTTGTCTAACCCACTTTCAAGAGCTTCCCTTTAAATTTGAACCAAAACTTGCAGGGAAAAAAAAAAAAAAATTCTGTTTCAAAACTTGTATCAATAAAAGCTCCTGAAATGATAAAAAAGGAAATTGCTTGCAATGGCTCAGGGTTCACCCTCTTTTTTATGGAAAAATGACAGAATCACCTCATTGATCCTTCGGAGAGAAGAGTTTGTCAGGAGGCCTCTAATCCTCATATTACTTTTCCAAACGTGCAGCAAGAATGCAGGATTTTCCTAACACAGTCAAAGCACATGCCGGGCTTTTTGTCCTTTTTTTTGTTTTGTTTTGTGGTTGTTTGGTTTTTTTGTTTGTTTTAAATAAATTAAAAAAAAAAAAAAAAAAGGAGAGGGGAACACACAACATGACTGGGCCACAAGAAACTAACCCATGAATTTATTTTCTCAATGTGCAACTGGGCCTACTGAGCCCAAGAAGCCCCACGTGGAGCTGCCAAGCAAGTGGGTGCTGTGGGCCCTGCACGGAGCACCGGAGGTCTCTCCTGCAGCTGCAGTGCTGACAAAAACCAGGTATTTTTAAGAGTTGAATTAGAAGCACAAACTTTATCCAGGCAGAGCGCAGAGTTGCATCCCAGCCTCTGCAAACTCCTTTTGCTCCCGTTTTCCTCCTGCCTTTGAGCAAGTGTACAGTTTGGAGTTTTGTGTCCCCGCCGGCCTGGCATTTCCTCACCAGCACCCCAAAATTTGGAGGAGGCTGGGGAAGGAGAAGGGGCCATGACGGGAGAAAGGGACGAAACTTTTGCAGCTCTTCGGGCTGCCTGGGAAGCTGCCGCCCCTCTCTCTGCAATTCCTCGCCTTTTTCTCGGCAGAAAGAGCCCAGAGAGGCTTTCTCACCGGGAGAAAAAAAATATTCCAATTAAATTAGTAAGAATAATGTAGTCAAAATCTCCTGCAGGAGGAAATAATCTGGGGTTTGAGTCCGCCACAAAGCATTTCCTCGTTAAACCATTATATCCTGCTAATTGAAGGGGTGTAATTCAGCGTCCTGCAGCAGCGCGCGAGGAAAAAGGGGGGGCCGGGGGCTCCGCGGCCGCGCAACTGAGGGGGCACCGCGGAGAGACAGCCCCCACCACCACATTCCCCGCGCAGCCCCGTCCCGCCGAGAGCGAGGGGCGCAAAAGTTGCGCCGAGTCCCGCGGGGGCCCCATCCGCGGGCGGGAGGGTGGCGGCGGGGGGACACGCGACACATGCGGGACAAGTTTGCGGAGTCCGTGCG